AACGCAATCGCCGCGCATCTTGCAAAGCGGAGCCCGGTTTACAGCGCCAGACCCGCCGTGCATCACCGGGTTTTTCACTCCAGCCATTGCAAACGCTCCTCCATCGGGCGCCCGAAAAGGGCTTTCCTTAAGCGCAGGCAGCCCGAGTCTCCAGGCGCTTCTCTCCCCCTCCCAGGCTCCGCACCTTCCCACGCGGCCCCTTCTCGCCCGCGATCCTCTCTCCAACTTGCTGTCTGCGGCTCATTCTCCTCTCGCGGCTCATCGTCTCCCGCTCTCGACTCCCGCCGGCTCCCAAATGCCTCCTCCCGCCTCCTGCTCGGGATGGTCACCAGAAATCTTTAAGAGAGCGCCCCTCCCCTCTCGGCATGACGCAACCCTTGCGCCATTGCCGCCCAATGGGCGACGCCGCGCCTTCCCATTGGCGGAACCAAGGGAGCCGCCGCCCAATGGGCCGTCGTCGTCCTTTGGCTACGCCCCGCCTCCTCCAGTGTTGGGTGACGCAGCTCCGCCGCGGTGGATACTGCCGCGTCGCACCCGGAAATGACTCCTCCCGAAATGTCCCCCCCTCCCTTCAGGGTCACGAGTCTTTAAGTGGGTGAGTCATGTGCTGGGGATGATGCAATGTCCTGGCAACCGTTGGCGGTCACGGCAGCTAAAGCCCAGGCCGGAGTCCTGACCTTGGCCCTGCTAGATCCCCTTTACAGGGCCTGCCTTGTTTCCTTTGCTCTTTTCCCTCCCCCCCTCCTCCTCCTCCTCCAACGAGCCTATGTGCCAAAGTCTCCCAGTAGTAAACTAGGCCGAATTACGTTGGGAGGCCCCCTGATCATCTTTTATGACGTCACGCCACGCCCACCGTTTGGTTAAAGGGCCAGTTCTCCCTGGGGAAAACAGCGGCAGGGCCTTCCCTGAGCTGTCCTTGCACATAATACGATACTTGGCCCATTGTTGCTCTAAGTCTACTCTACCTTATTATTGTTGTTGTTATCATCACCTGAAAAGTGGGGGGGAGCCTTTTTTGGAATGTAAATGAAATAAATAGAGCTGCCTTACTGGATTAATAGCACAGATTTGAAAGGAGTAAGCCTGTGTAATGCATTTGCTTCTGAATAAAATGAGAGTTGTGAAGAAACAGCATTCTCTCCCTTGATTTTTAATGATGCCATATAGGAATTCCAGAAAGCCCAACTCCTGTAAATAATTGCGCTTTTGAAAACAACCTGCTGTCTATAATAGGTAGTAGTTCTTAATCAGAACATTTTAAACCAGTCATTTTAACTGGTCACATCTAAATGTTGCACCTCAAATAAAAAGCAAGCAATTCCTTGGGGAAGAGAGGAGATCATCCAAAAGGTGTATATCTGGATTGTGTCTCTTTCCACCTCAGATCTAGTCAAAGAAAGGAGGCAGCAGAGTTTTGCCCAATTCTAACAATGCTTTGTTTAGGAGAAACAAACTAATAAAACAATAAGGACACATAAAATTATATATTAGTCTAGAAAAGAAGGTACTTTAGGTAAGTTTGTCAAAATTGGTCTTGACACAAAAATTCAGGCTACTTCCAACTTTGCGCATATAGGGTTACCAAAACGACTTATCGTTTTAAACAATATGAAAAAGCCTAACTGCTCTGTGTATCAAGTAGCTAAATACTAGCCTCTTGAATGGATTTCATTCGAGTGATTCAAGCCACTTGAATAGGTTTCATAAAAATGAATGCAATTGCAAGTAATTAATATAAAACAAATAATCAGATTTAGAAAAAAGACCTGAATTTTTAAACTGGAATATTATGATTATTTCATTTGAAAATGAAATTGAGAGAAGCTACCTTTTATTTTATTGGCAGTGTAATTTGAATAACTTGATATTTCATTTGATTGTTATGCTTGTGAGCCAGAATCTCAGTTTCCCATCAGCAAATCTCTACATATATCATTTTGCCTGACAAATAGCATTGAAAGTGGAGCTCTGAATTGCAAAACATTCTACGGTGCCATTCTGTTTGCAGGAAATGCTAGTCAGACCTTGCAAACAAACAAAATGTTAAAAAGTTATGATATTTATGTAGTTACTTGCCAAGCACATCTAAATATTAAAGTAACCAAAATATCTTTACAATTCCCAAGGCACGTCACCACTTTTGAGCGCCCCAAATGTTTGGAAATTGAAAGCTGAAAATTTTGACATGTTCTACCAGTGGCACAGCTTATATCCTCTAGAATCCATAAGCACACTATAATACACACTGTAATATACAGTTTTCTCTCACAGTGTTGCTTAAAGGGATGTATAGTAGAGGTGGACAAGCTATCAGGGAACCTTCAGAGCTCCCACAAGAAGTTCTAAAGAATCCTTATGTAGACTACCAAACAACTGCAACATTTTATAGACTTGAGCCTAAAAGTCTAGTATACAAATCCACATTAAAATATGGCTCTTTCTGTCATAATTACAGCATTACAGAATGGGAACATTAATAACCTATATTAGAATTACAGTAAAGTTATTAATAAAAAGCATGTTTTTAATAAACTGCCAACTAATGTTTATATGCTCTGAAGAACTTTGGGATTGTGACTGGATCTAATTTCTCACCACCACCATTTTGCTACATAGAACTGTACTGTATGTTATATGCTTGACATCTGTTCACAAATATGACCACTGACCAACTCAGATGTCTGTTTCTCTTGCAATTCATCCAGTCTTCCTCCCAAAGCAGTTCAGAATTGCTTTTGATGTCTGTATGGGACACATTCATTCAATACATATATAGTACAAGTAGTCCTTGACTTGCAGCCACAATTGAGCCCACAATTTCTGTTGTTCAGTGAGACATGTTAAGTGAGTTTTGGCCCATTGTACAACTTCTTTCCACAATTGTTAAGTGAATCACTGCAGTTGATAAGTAACCTGGTTGTTAAGGAAATCTGACTTTCTCATTGACTTTGCTTGTCAGACGGTTGCAAAAGGGAATCATGTGACCCTGGGACACAGTGAAGGTCATACATATGAACCAGTTGCCAAACTGTTAGAATTGCTAGAATTTGGATGCTGCAAAGGTGGCAACTATGAAAAACAGTCATAGGTCACATTTTTCAGTGCCGTTTAATTTTGAATGGCCACTAAACGTACCATTGTAAGTCGAGGACTACCTATGTAAGACAATATTTTTATTTTGGCCAGAATGTTGTTGGATGCCTGTGAAGGACAGTGCATTGGACTTACATGTGATTTATGGTGCATAAGTCATCAAGTCTTGTAGAAATAATTTCCCTTTGAATTATTTAATATGAAATAACTTTTTATCAGATTCTGCTCCATTCCTAAGAACCACAAATAATAATTTACCGTGCTTGGTGGTATGCCATTGCCAATACAATTGCCTATTTATGCATTTTAACAGATTTTTCTCTTATGAGGAAAACCTTTCCTTGATCTCAATGTCTGCTTAATCTATATTTTGCATATATTTCTATTCTGTTAATTTTTTTCATAATTATGTATTGCTTTGATTTTCACTTCAGTTTCTTTATGTTTAACATCCAATTGTGCTCAGGCTTAATTAGCTGAATATGTAAAGCTTTTTACCTCTATGATCATAGGCTGTGCAGCACTTTGGTTGGCTGTCATGTTCTTGCCTTCAAAGCATGTTTTGGGAATCAAATCCTAAACTGTTCTGTTAAATAAGTAAAACTTCTGAAAATCATCCCACCATTGAAATCCCAGATAAAATCATATCTGGTATTGGTACATCTCACTTGCACCATCTCTTGAATGCGCAACCATAAGTCAAACAGTAGTGAATTATCAGTTCAGAGCATTTAAGAAAAAAAGCTAAGTTATTTGGCACTGGATCTCTCTCAATTATTACTTAACAGATAATTTGTCTACCTCAACTTCTGAGGCTGAGACAAGCTGCATAAGAATCTGTAGGCTCCTTCCCTGTTAGTTTGAAACAGACTGCTGGATTGTATGGCACTTTCATTTGTCCAAATAAGTAATTTGTTAATGTTACTTAAAAGGAGCTGCTTTGCTGGATCAAGTGAGAAATCTGTTCAGGGGTTTGTTTGTGGCATGGTCAGTAAGATGCCTCTGGAAAGCTAGCAGCACAGGCACAGAGACAAGAGTTTTCTCCTGCTATATCGCCCACTTTCTCCAAGTGAGATCACAACAGTTTCCTCCACACAAAGGGCCAGGCTAAACTGAGGTTTTGTTTAAAGCTGTTTGTTACTCAGGTACTTAGTCCAATAAGTTATCCAAATACAGTCTATTAGGTTGAGCAAATCACGGTTAAATTAATCTGTATATTTATTCTATAGCCACCCATCTCATACCTGTGACTTTAGGCAACTTACATTAATTCGTTTTTAATTCTTCCTTGGAAGTTTCTGCCCATTGTGGTAGAACAACTTTGGATTCTACTTTTCTCCCCAGAATGAGGAAGGAGATACCCTAGAATAACTTTTTACCCTCTACAGTTTCCATCATCTGATAGACCGCCTTTACTTTAATGCAGTGGTGGGATTCAGCCAGTTCTCACCACTTCGGGAGAACCGCTTGTTAACTTTCTGAGCAGTTTGGCAAACTGGTTGTTGGAAGAAATCATTAGGGCAGAGAACCGGTTGTTAAATTACTTGAATCCCGCCACTGCTTTAATGTAGTTGCATACACAGTACACACAAATACTATCCATTCGGGGGCAAAACAAGGATGGCCCTGTAAGGGCTTCATCCTCCACTCCCATTTAAAAGATCACTGCGGTACGGAATCGGGTCCTTTCCAAAGGCAGCCCAAACCTCTGCGAGCGCCTTCCAGACCAGCAGTTCGTTTCCGAGCCTCTTAAGAGCTAGTGGGCAAAGGCAAGGCAGGCCGCAAACAACAGGCGACAGGATTACTGCCGCTCCGATTTCCGCACCGGGACTTCGAAACAACCCAAAGGGCCCAGGCCAGATTTTACTGCGAGCCCTGCGCGCAAAGCGCAGCTCCTGCGCCCTAAGCGCAGAGCGGAGGAGGTCGGGAACGGAATTCCCAGGGCTGTTCCCCCACTCCCCAACCTCCACCCTCACCCGGCCCCCAGTGCGCATGCCAGGGAGGAAGCTCCCTTGCTCTACCCCCTCCTCTTCCTGGCACTGAGTCCAGGGGGGAGGGAGGGAGTGAGGTAGGCACTGGGGGGTGGGGGTGGAGAGCACCAGCGATCCCCTGCACCCTGACCCCCCACCCGACCCACGCACCCACCCGGCACCCGCCGCAGGTGGGGGGTGGCCGCCCGTAGCCGCCGCCGCCGCCGCCCCCCCCGGGAGAGACGCGATTACAAGTTGGAGCTTGCAGCTGCTTCTGGGGAGGGGGCACCATGAACCAAGGTAAGTGGCAAAGGGGGCACACTCTCTGAAGTCGGATCCGGGGGTGCATTTGGCATAGGCGAAGGGAGTCGTGAGTGCCCGGGAGTCGAGCCGATCTCCCGCTTGCAGCTTCTCTTGACAGTTCAAACTTCTGCCGGAGTTGCCCAGCCTTTCCATTAAAGAGGAGCTGCTGGGAAAGGGCGATTTGGCCGCCACCTCTTAAAACTACTCTTCCTGTACCAAAAGGGAATGAATAATGCCTTCGGGGAGAGGGGAAGCGGGTGGGTTTCCCTTTTAAACCCGATTGCACAAAGCTAAGGAGAAAGGTTGCTGGGGTGCTTGGTTGCCTTATGTTCTCTCTTTCTTCTGGAGGAAGTGGGGGGGAGGTTTGCAAACCCCACTCCTAGACCTTCGGTTACTGCTATGGTGGGAAAAGTTCAGCCATCCTTCAAGGACTAAGGGGGTCTATGATCCAAGGAAGAAGGGGCAGTACCAAAAGATTACTGGGTTCCAGTAATTTACTGGGTTCCAGTAAAAAAGATTCCAGCTCCAGTTTTCAGGCTCACCTAACTGCAGGTGGCAAAAAAAAAAAAAAGGGGGGGGGGGGGACAAAGGAGAGGATGGACCCAAACAATTTCCCCCACCTTTTTTTTAAGAGGGTTGTCCTGGAATCTGATTTCTTTGTTTCCCGTTCTTGCGTGTGATGGAACAGGACGGGGGGAGGTGGGGGGGGGGGGGGGGGAGAAGTAAAAGGAGGACTCGCCTCCTCCAGGGTGATTGAAAGGTTAAAAAGTCACCAGAAAAGTTGGTCCAGGACCATTTCCTGACTCTCATTCAACAGGAGTCAAAATAAAAGGAGATTAATAAACTTTCTCGTGATCGTTTAGGAAAGTCGGAGGCAAAATATGCAGAAAGTCGGAGGCAAAATATGCGGAAAGTCTTCCGTCTAGAAGTGTTGTGTAAAGAGGATGGCGGGAATAGTGGTCCAGCATATCCAGAAGGCACCAGGTTGGGAAAGGCAAGAGTAAGAACATAACATCTCTTAGAATCCTTTTCTTCAGATTATACAGAATTGCGCTGGCTGTTCCATAGGGGGAACATAGTTCTTTAGGGGGGGAAATTGGAAAGTAGATAGCACCTTTAATCTTCTTCAGTAGGAATTTGCTTATCAGGTAGGGAAACTCCTTGGTAATTGTTAAAAAGTTTGAAAGCTACACTCAACTTCCTATGCAAAATCCCCATGTGTTCTCATTATTTTGGATAAGGGCAAGTGATTCTAGTGCAGGGAATTAACTTGCAGGAATCTAGGCTGTAATAATTAATGGCACAATATACATTTTCAGCCAGGCTTGTATGTCTTGTGATTTTTATTTTATTTTATTTTATTTATTTTGATGCATTTGAGAATATGCTACCTTCCAGATATTTTGGACTACAGTTCCCAGAATTACATGCAATTATTATGTAGCTAGGGATCAGGGAAGCTGAAGTTGAGCACAACTGGAAGGCACAGGGTATTGTATTCCCCTCCCCATCCCCTCCAAAAGAACTAGGTTTGATTCTACAATATTACCAATTGTTCAAAATGTGCAGTATGTGTTTGTTGAAAATAACTAGATTAGGTAAACACACCTTGCAGAGTATAAACAATGCTAGCCTTGTTTAAAGTTAATCAGAGTGCAGTTATACAATCGAGCGAGGAGTCTAATCTTTTTTGCTGCATACGTTTGATTACAGGTAGTCCTCGACTTATGACCACAATTGAGCTCAAAATTTATGTTGCTAAGTAAGACGGGTTAAATGAGTTTTGCCCCATTTTATCACCTTTCTTGGCACGCTTGTTAAGTGAATCACTGCAGTTGTTAAGTTAGTAACACATTTGTTAAGGGAATCTGGCTTCCCTATTGGCTTTGCTTGTCGGAAGATCACAAAAGGTGATCACATGACCCCAGGACATTACAACCATCATAAATATGAGTCAGTTGCCAAGTGTCTGAATTTTGATCATGTGACCACGGGGGATGCTGCAGTGGTTGTAAGACTGAAAAACGGTCAGTCACTTTCCTCAGTGCCGTTGTAATTTTGAATGGATCATTAAATGAACTGTTATAAGTTGAGGACTACCTATATCCTGATGGAGGATATCTATCCTGCATTACAAGATCCTGACCATGTTGCCAACTTCCATTAACTGTGGCAATCGGGTTCCTGAATATAGTTTTTGACTTTTTTATCCTCTGCAGTGGGTCAGTATAGTTTTCTATACTGCTTTAAAAAGTCCCCTCCAAAGAATCAAATGACTTGAATATATCCAAAAAAACGTGTGGCCAAGTCTTAACATTTTCAAATATATACTTAGTATAAAATACATACTAAAACCTATATACTGTTGATTTCTTTGCAACAGAACCAGAACTACCTAAGCCTTAAGTCAGTTACAATACAAGGCCTGGGCACTTTAACTTGGATGTGGAACTGTTCTTACCTCATTGTTGCATTGACAGCCACTTTAGATGTAGGTGTTAAGTTTCACTCAGGGGAGCGACTAGTATGACAAGGCCCAGTCTCAGGAATAGTGCTGTCTTTAAGGATGATAAGATGAACATCCTTCTGATTTTCCCCTTTTGTTTATAGCATTTTTTAAAATGTAAACAAATATAGGTGTATAATATAGATGTAAGATGAACACCACATATGGTTTCAAAAGAAAGAGGAATTTTTTTTTCTATTGCTTCAGCATTGCTTTGAGATATTTCGTCAAAAGAAAAAAAAAAGACCTAGGCACAAAAAAAATTGTCTACATTCACCTCCTCTGAAATAAGAAATCTGCTTTTATATTGCTCTAGCCCAATCTACCTTTAGCTCTGTCAGTGAGTAAATGGGAGGAGCCAATCAATGTGTCAGCAGGTTTATTAACCATTCCTAGTATTTTTCCCTTGGATTTCTGAATTCTTTAAATAGGTTTTAATCATTTTTTTGTGTGGTGAGAGAAACTGCCAACTTTTTAATGGCTGATCCTGTCTTACACTTTTTACCCTCACCGGATCTATAGAATTAGTACAGATTCCCTTTTTTCTCTTCTGCTTTCTGCTACTGTTAAAAGGCACTAAGAGTAGAGCAGTTCAAGCTGTGATCTGGTTCATAGCATATTAAGAGTATATTAACTATATACATGTGATTCATTTGGTCTTGGCTTAATTGTGGTTGATGTAGTAACCATGGTTAAAGAAATATTGGCTTAATACATGAAATTAATCTGTTTTTTCTTCCATTAGTAATTAATTCTAATTGGGCTATCATTTTCAGTCACTTTTTATGACTACAGTGAAGAGAAATATAATATGTTGTCTCCCTATTGTTTAATCCCTGGCTAGCCTGATGAGTGTAGATTTTTCAGCTAATGTGAGAGCCAGTTTAGACTAAGCTAGCAAGCGGGAGACTGTGAGTTCAAGTCCTGCCTTAGCTATAAAAGCCAGCAGAGTGACTTTGGACTGTTCACTCTCTTTCTCTCATTCCAAGCCACAGGGTGGGTGGTTGTGGGGAAAATAGGAGGAAGATGTATTGGATATGTTCACCGCCTTGAGTTATTTGTAAAAATAATAAAGGAGGGATAGAAATAAAATAAATAATGTTCAGAATTCTAAATAAGCATTTCTTCTAATCGTTTTAGGTGACAAAGATTTGCCTTTGGCCAGTCAACCAAAGAGCTTTCTAAAAATAAATGCTTAGTTGTCTGTATAAGCTAACACATTTGTGTATATGGAGATGGGCCACTAGCCCACAGGCGTTTTGTGGGCTACTAACGAATGTATTTGTAAAGCTCCGATCCATTACTCATACTCTGAATTTTTCATTCCTAAGCTTCAGCCAGCATCGACATGTTTCTGTAGAAGCTTCTTTTCTTTGTGGCATGGGAGAAACCAATATCTTGTCTACATCTTTCTATCTGCCTAGAAATGCCACTCTTATGAATAAGAAAAATTAGCATATGATTTAGATGTGTACCCAAAGGAATTGGCCATTGGTTCGTTTTTATGCCACTCATTATAAGTCATGCGCTTAGGGAGGAGTATTCTAGATTAGTAGAGATGACTTCTGGATTTTGCATGCAACGTAGAATGGGCTGGACTGAAACCCTTTCCTATGATTGGTTAAATGTTTATTTGCCAGGATGAATATAGAAAGTTGTTTTATGTTAAATCAGGCCATTGGTCCAACTAATCCAGTACAGTACTGCATTATCAACATGGACTAGTCATGTTTTACCAATGTTTTAGGTAAGATTTTTCTGTCTGAACATGCCAGAGATTGAACTTGGATTCTGCTCCATGTTTATTTAAGAAAATCTGCAGTTATATAGTCTAGTCCAGTGATGGCTAACCTTTTTGCCATCGCGTGCCAAAACTCGGGGGAGTGCAGGGTGGTTACGCACGCGCGTGCCCACACCCATATGCGACCCCCCCGTGCTCACCCCACATTTGGCACACGATGGCACAGTGGGCCCGGTAGGCCCGTTTTTTGCCCTCCCCAGGCTCCAGAGCCTTTCTAGGACTTTCTAGGCGGGTGAAAACAGCCTTCCCCATACCTCCAGAGGCCCTCCGGAGGCCGGAAATGGCCCATTTGCCAACTTCTGATGGACCTGGAAGGCCCGAAAATCAGCTGGTGGAGCTGAGCTCACGTGCCCACTGATACAGCTCCGCGTGCCACCTGTGGCACGCGTGCCATAGGTTCGCCATCACGGGTCTAGTCCAAGAACAGGAGATAACCTGGTGGTTCCCCCATTATAGTCCACTTTGGACTATAATTCCCAGAATCCATGATTCTGGCCAGGTTAACTGGTTGTGCGGCATATAGGAACTGTTATCCAAAATATCTGTGTATTCCAAGTTGGCTATTTCTAGACTGTTGTCTCTTTAAGGATTTACTTTTGTGCAGATTATGTTCAGAAAGCGTGATCCGATGGGGTACAATATATATCATATATATCAATACATGCAGGTCAGTTCCCCAAGGGTTGCCACAGCCTTATATTTTAACCTCTGTCCTGCTGTTACATTCAAGTTGGCAAATATTCCCTTCCCTCCCTCCTTTAAACTGGGATTTCAATCCTCTGTAATAATTGGGAATCTAATGGTAGCCCTTGTTTTCCTTGGGCGTCTATCTATCACTTCCTTGTACCACACCAAATAGTAAAGTGTGATTCATTTTAAAGTAACAAGAACTTTTACTAACCCAGACTGGAATAGTAGCAACACATTAGTATGGTGTCCTAACATTACCCCCCCCCCCCCCCCCCCAAAAAAAGTATTTGACCCAGATATTTTCTATCAAAACAATTGTAGTGAATCTTATCTCCCTCTTTCTCCTCGCTTGAGTAGCCTCAACCTCATGTTCTCCTTCCTTTCCAGGGGTAGGCTAGTGTGGCTCCTGAGTGGTGTGAGCTTGCTGGACAGGTCACCATCTGGATTCTCAGAAGAAAGGCCACTGGACTGACTATGAGTGCCTCAAGGGAATACACCCAGCCTTAACATCGCCTGCCACGAGGTTTGCAGCCATGAGCAGGTAGGAGCCATCTGCATAGCAGAGTTGGATTAAAGGATCAGCCAGCTGTTTGCTGTTTCATGGCGCTTTCCTGATTTTGTTTAGTAGGGCAGAGCTGCCCACTCAGTTAGGAGAGGAGAGGGTGAGGGGACTTGGATAATGCAAATCTGTTTCTCTGACTCCCTTCAGATCTTCTACTGGTTTAAGCCTTGTCTTACTAGTGTCCTAGTTCAGGCAGTGCCACCCTTCTGTCTCCCTCTTTTATTCTCTCCAGCTACCTGTTTGCTCTCTTTCTTTTGAATGAACCCCGAACCTTTCTGCCACTCCCCAAAATCTCAGCCTAGAATCCTAGGAGTGATCTCTTCTACAACTGTGCTACTTTGGACTGTATAAATTAGTAGGGGATTATATTGGGAGTTGTTATTATCCTTTTTTTTTTTTTTAAATCCATTGTAAAAGAAAATGGGTCTCCCTTCTACCTGGAATTTGAGGTGGTGGAGTCCCCAAAGTGTGATTCTGTTGGTTTGTGTAGCTTGGCCCGAAGCCATTCTGTTGCTGGCTCAGCTAATAATAACTCTTACCCATGATACAAAGCCTCTCGCAGTCCTAGAGCTAATCTCACCTTTCCCTGATAGGAAAGGCTCAGTGGCAGGCTGTTTATTCTGCCAGAGGGTTTACCTGGGGAGTTGGGAGACTTTAGAGGTGGGGACCCAGTTTCAAAGGCCAGGTTTTTAAGCAAGGCTGAGGGTGAAATCTCATGTTTTGTTTGTAAAGGTAGCAAACGCCTTAAAGACTCCGCAGTTCCTCAAATGCTGTACAAATAGGCCTCATCCTTCTCATCTTAGAATATAGCCTCAGCTCTTGGAACTAAGGTTACCCATCTCTTACATTTCCATCCCCATGAATACTACGGTAGCTAGGATCCTCTCCTACTGCTGCTCTCGATGCTCTTTACTATGGGGCCTTCGATCCTAACCACCACGCATTCTTCCAGGTGCCCAAGCGCTGAGGGAGCACAATGAATGGCGGCGATGATTGCTCTGGTGTGGATCGAGGTGGGCGCCCGGCAGTCACACCTGTGCCTGTGGGCTGGCAGCGCAGGGTGGAAGAGGGCAGAGTGTGCTATATCAGGTACAGCCTGCCCCTGACCATGTATTTCTTTCTCCTCTGCTCTCCACTGCTGCTTTCATGCTAATCTGGCCTGTCCCTCTTTTCTTTCTCCTAGTCCTAGCGGGACGAGCTTGGCTTCATTGGAGCAGACTCGTGCGTATCTGCTGGCGGACGGCACTTGCAAGTGTGGACTGGAGTGTCCCCTCAACGTGCACAAGGTAGAGAGGACTGAAGAGAGAAGCCGATTAGTATCTGATGTTGAGAGATTCTGGGGGTAGAATTTTTTTATTTGCCTAAGAGGAAACAAATCCTCACAAGCATAAGAGACTAATAACACCTAACAAGACATGTAGGAAACCTTTACAGCAAACTAGTGGGTCCTTCTAGGTTTTCTAGCTGGCTGATTAGAGCTTTCTAGTTTCAGCCAGGTGTCTTTCTCAGTCCATGTGCAGGTGGCAGGAATGGAGCCTGGAAACATTTACATGAAAGTGTGTGCTTTATCACTGGGACATATTTCTTGCTAGTCAGGTGATAGATCAACCAAGAGCATGATTTACCACCTTAGCTTTCCAGCTTCTGTAATCTTGCCTGTTGGCTAGGCTGGTTGGAAGTATATACCGTGTTTCCCCAAAAATAAGACCCTGTCTTATATATATATTTTGAACCCTGAAATAAGCGCTTGGCCTTACTACCATGCCCTCAAAAGCCCAATTGGGCTTGTTATCAGGGGATGTCTTATTTTGGAGGAAACGGCATGAAACTGAATTATGGCACATCTGGAGGACACCAGTTTGAGAAAAGCTGCGCTAAACTACTGTATGTGCTTTGGGAGGTCTTATTATTGTCAGTAGGCTAAAGATAGACTCCCTCACTCATTATATACTTGATTGGCAATTAAGATCTGTGGGAGAGGCTCTTTTAAACACACATACCCCTCTCAGTCTCTTTTAACTGGCCAAAGAAGACAGCCTTCCAGGAGGTGAAATAGAGTTTTTGAACAACTACATTTAAACCCCACTTCTTTCTAAGAGCAATGAAAACACACTCTTCCATTTATCTTTTAACTGTCAATTTGAATATCCTTTTTTAAGTGGTTCATTTTGTGCTCTGTATTTTAATTACACTTAGCTACCATAAGTACACACTTGTATAGAAAGGCAGAATGCTTTGGCTTGTGGTCCTGCACACCCTTAAACCCAGGGAAGGCAACTTCTTACAAGCCAAGCACCATACTTGGTCTTTGAGTAGCTTGCTGTGGCTTGCGCTCAAAAAAAGTAAAGGTTGAAACCTAGAAAATGCTCAATTGGGTCACATTTCATTCAAATTAAACACAGCATGTATTATCAGGGGCTGGAGTTGTGCTCCTCCACTTAAATCCCCCTGAAATCAGTGGAAGGTCCTTCTGAGAAACTCATGAGGTTTCTGATATTCAGTGACAGTCCTGATTCCTACTAGAACCAAAGAATGGGTAAGTTGAACCAAAGTTGAACCAAAATTGAACCAAACTAGAACCAAAGAATGGGCAAGAGCCTGGTGGCGCGGCAGACTAAAGCACTGTTATTAACAGTTATTAACGTCAGCTGCCTGCAATTACTGCAAGTTCAAATCTCCCCAGGCTCAAGGTTGACTCAGCCTTCCATCCTTTCTAAGGTAGGTAAAATGAGGACCCAGATTGTGGGGGCAATAAGCTGACTTTGTATAAAAATATACAAGAGGATGAAGGCTATTGCTTAACGCATTGTAAGCCGCCCTGAGTCTCCGGAGAAGGCTGGCATATAAATTAAATTAAAAAAAGAAATTCCTGCCATAGCACCTTTTGTCAGATGAGGGAAAGGAGGGTATTCTGTCATTAAACCTTTCCCCCATTATGGTTAGGTTTTCAACTTCGACCCTGCAGCAATGGTGATTGGGAGTGAAGGCAGCAAGGGAGACCAAGACATGACCAAGCTTTGCAATCACCGGCGGAAAATTGTGGCAATGGCAACACTTTATCGCAGCATGGAGAGCCATGGACCGCTGGGCATGCCACATCTGGGGCCAGGTAACTGTGTTGTTCGATGAATGGCCTGGTTTGTTTTCTTCTTTTCTTCATCTGTTCTTTGTCCCAGTGCTTCTCATTTGGCCTCTTGCTTAGGGTGAGCAAGAGTCTGAGGGAAATTCTGGATTAACTTTCTAAATAGAAGCTATGCCAAGATTGATCTATCTATCTATCTATCTATCTATCTATCTATCTATCTATCTATCTATCTATCTATCTATCTATCTATCATCTCTATCTATAAAATTTATTTGCTGCCCATCAAGTCCGAATAAGAATTCTGGATTAACCTTCTAAATAGAAGCCATGCTGAGATCTACCATCTTTCTTTCTTTCTTTCTTTCTTTCTTTCTTTCTTTCTTTCTTTCTTTCTTTCTTTCTTTCTTTCTTTCTTTCTCTTTCTTTCCTTCCTTCCTTCCTTCCCTCCTTCCCTCCTTCTTTCTTTCTCTTTCCTTCCTTCCTTTCCTTCCTCCCTCCCTCCCTCCCTCCCTCCCTCCCTTCCTTCCTTCCTTCCTTTCTTCCTTCCTTTCATAAAATTTATTTGCTGCCCATCTCATATCCAACAACTCTGGGCAGCTTACAATAACCTTATTGATTTAATATGGCAGTGTAGATAGCTGGCCGATTTGCAAGTGTGGTTCTGGATGGCGAGCGTAGGATTAAAAGCAACAAGCAACAAAAATAAAAACCATAAATAACAATGACAATACCACTGATAGTAATAATTCCACAATAATGGCATTATTGGCACAATTGTAAAAACAAAAGTGTGTCTTAAAACGGGGAACAAATAGGCCTCTGAAGGTGTGAAATGGGATGAAGATTGGTTTTTCTATCTTGTTACTGAGGTGGAGAAACTTGGATGTCCCAACTTGTTTAAAGGAAGTTTGATTTTAGATATATTTTTTTTGCCCCTCCTATACTAGTCTTCTGTGTTCTCATTCCATCCAAGCAGCTAGCCAGCCTTTTGGTGTAAATTGGGGCTTCCTATTTGTCCTTCCTTTTGGAGAATAATCACCTTTTCCTCTATTTACAGGGGCTGGAATGACTCTGCCACCTCACCCGGCCATGCCAGGGCCCAGCACTTGCCTGCAGCAGACTCTTTCCAGCAAAGCTCCAACCAGCTTGCCCAAGGGGCCGGATGTCTCCTTGCAATGTCCCTCTGATCGTTATGGCAGTGCCTGGTCCGGTCCAAGCTCTTCCTTTCCCCGCCATCACAACGCTTTCTTTGGGGATGTCTTCCCAGGCCGTCTGCCACCCACTGTCAACGGCGGTGCCCGCCCAACCTTCCCGTCTGAACTGAATGCTGCCGGGGGTTCTTTCCTACCCAGCAAGACCTCAGCAGATGCATTGCCCCGGCCCTATTCATCCAACAGTTTCCTCTTCCCCCTGCTAGATGAGATGGGGTCTGTTCAAGAGGGCAGCCCCTGGAGTGGTCGTTCTATCCCTCTTGGGTCGCAGGCGAGTGCTGCCGGCTCGCCTGCCCCCACCAGCCTCTCCTCCGTTTCTTCGTCAGCAGGCAGCGCTGAGCCTTCTCCACAGCGGTCACGGCACTCCTCCGCCTCCTCCGAGCAGGGCCCCTCTGGACACCGACTGGCTTCCAGGCCCTCCAGCTTGGACGCAGCACCCCCGACCAACGCCTTAACCAACCAAAGCAGCAATAACCTGCCCTCAGTGCCCTTAGGAGCTGCCCCAGAAGGCAAAGGACCGCCTGGCCTGCTGCTCCTTCCTCCACAGGGCCCAGGCTCTTTCCCAGCCAGCAGTTTGTTGAGCGCAGCCGCCAAGGCCCAGCTGGCCAGCAGGGGGCGTCCCGACGAGCTGGCTGCCAGCACTTTACCCAACCGCTTGCTGCTGTCAGTGGTGGGCGGGCGGACACCTCGACGGCAACGTCGCTCCCCCACTGTCCTGCGCCTGCTCAAGGATTCCCACGCAGGGCAGGCAGGGGTCACCCATCCTGAGGAGACACTGACCCGACACCCCTGGCCTAGGGACCAGCCCCCTGGAGGAGAGGCCAAGAATGGACCCCCAAGCTCAGCCACCCCGGTACAGCCGCTGGCCTCTCTGCTCAGTTTGCTGGCTCCTCCCGGGAGTTCACCTATGCCAGGCCTGCCCCCGCTTCTCCAGGCCCCTGCTGGCGACAGTCCCAATTCTTTGCCCCCCTTCCAGGACTTCAACAGCCAACTCCTCAGCCTCTTTGGTCAGCTGGCTTCTGCGTCTTCCGAACAGATCTCAGGGAGTTCCCCACAGACAAAACCTCCCACCTCCCCGCTTGCATCCCATGGACCCCCAGGTAGGTTTGTACATGGAAGTGGAGGTGGCCGTCATCGTGTTTTTGTCCTTCCTCAGATTGGGAGCTGCAGCTGAGTGACAGCTGTCTGAGGGTCCTGGAGAGTTTGTTTCTTCTTCTCTTTAAGGGAAATAAAAAAAAAAGGCAGGGAATTGCCGGTCCCATGGCAGCCACACCTCCTGATTGTCTTGCCTCCCTTTTCTTGGCCAGGAAAGCAGATCTTATCTCTCCTGAACCAAAAGGCCCTGCCCGAGCTGGATTGCCATCTGATCCTTTCTGATCATGCAAAGTGCAGGCTATGCAATCCTGAATTTATAATCAAGGCTTGTCACCAGTTAAAGATTCTGGTTCGAATGATATCTACAACAGGTTAATGTTTGGGGAAAAGAAATATGTATGAAATGGAGGAGGTGGGCATTGAATAATCAGAGGTGCCCATTAATAAGGCATTTGAACATAGGCCTTTGTTTTGTTTAATGTTACCCAGACAGAAATGGCTATGGGAGACGGTCTGTGGTATACCCGATTCTGTGAGAGTTTACTCAAAGCGATCTTTGTTGTGGTACATGTGGCTTACACCTTGGCAAAGGGCACAGTGAACAACTAGCCGTGGTTTAATCCTTGTCCTTTGCAGTTAGATAAATTGGTGCTTCTTACTGCCAGATTACTGATAGATGTGGTAGTTAAATTGTTTATCTTCCTGTCTTCAAATTTACAGATTTATTTATTTATTTATTTATTTATTTATTTATTTATTTATTTATTTATTAAATTTATATACCGCCCTATTCCTGAGGGACTCAGGGCGGTGAACAGCGAATGATAAAAATACATGTAATACAAACGTTAAAAAAAACCAATTAAAATATACTAAACACTCTGGTCCTAGATAATTCAAGACATCCCAGTTTAAAATAAAATCAAAAGCAATATAAACGGAAAGTTAGACCAGGCCGGCCTGCTGAAACAGGAATGTTTTGAGGGCACGGCGGAAAGTGCGCAGATCCAGAATCTTCTGTATCTCTGGGGGGAGCTCGTTCCAGATGGTGGGTGCCCTCACAGAAAAGGCTTTCCCCCTGGGGGCCGCCAGTCGACACTGTTTGGCTGACGGCACCCTGAGAAGCCCCTCTCTATGGGAGCGTACTGGGCGGTGAGAGGCTATTGGTGGCAGAAGGCGGTCTCGTAAGTACCCCGGTCCTAAGCCATGGAGCGCTCTAAAGGTGGTAACTAAGACCTTGAAGCGCACCCGGAAGACCACAGGGAGCCAGTGCAGCTCGCGCAGGAGGGGCGCCACATGGGAGCGCCATGCTGCTCCCATAACTACCTGCGCTGCCGCATTCTGGACCAGCTGGAGCCTCCGGGTGCTCCTCAAGGGGAGCCCCATGTAGAGAGCATTACAGTAGTCCAGGCGTGAAGTGACGAGGGCATGAGTGACCGTATTTAACGAGTCCCGATCCAGAAAGGGACGCAACTGGTGAATCAGGCGAACCTGATAAAAAGACCTCCCGGCCACAGCCGTCAAGTGTTCTTCTAAAGACAGCTGTGAGTCCAAGAGGACGCCTAAGTTGCGAACCCTCTCCGTGGGGGGCAATGACTCATCCCCAATAATTAGTGATGGCACCAACTGACTATATCGGGACGTCGGAAACCACAGCCACTCGGTCTTGGATGGGTTGAGCCTGAGTCTGTTCCTCCCCATCCAGATCCGTACAGCCTCCAGGCACCGGGACATCACTTTAAAGGCATCATTGGGGTGGTCCGGGGTGGAGATGTATAGCTGAGTATCATCAGCATACTGATGATACTTCACCCCAAAACCACGGATGATCTCACCCAGCGGCTTCACATAAATGTTGAACAGAAGGGGTGAGAGAACCGACCCCTGTTTGATTGAGGAATGGAGGAGGAGGAGCAGTGGTGAGGAGTGGTTTGTCCTGCCATTAACATAATGCCATTCTAACTACTATATTCCCCTCTACCTTCCATCACAGGAACAGGTGTAGAAGGTGCATTTCCCACCCCACCTGTCCCCGAACAGTGACATTCATAGTAGGGACAATTAAAAAAGGAAAACAACATTCAGGAAACGTAGCTCTCCAGTGCTGCCCTAGTAACACTTATATCATAATGTAAAAGAAACATTGATTGGATTCATGTGTTATATTAAACCAGTTTTGTTTTAATTAAGGCTTGCTGAATAAGTTACAGTCAAGTGGACTTATACCCGTGATGGTGAACCTATGGAGCCGTATCTGTGGGCACGCGAGCATTGCCCTAGCTCAGCTCCAGCCGACCAGCTGATTTTCGGGCCTTTCGGGCCCATCGGAAGTCGGGTAAATGGGCCATTTCTGGCCTCCAGAGGGCCTCGGGGGGGGGGGGGGGCCATTTTCGACTTCTCCAGGCTCCAAGAAAGCCTCTGGAGCCTGGAGAGGGTGAAAAATGGGCCTTCCGGGCCCACTGGAATTCAGGAAACGGGCCGTTTCTGGCCTCCAGAAGGCCTCCGGGCTAGGGGTGGGGAAGGCCGTTTTTGCCGTCCCCAGGCTCCAAGAAAACCTCTGGAGCCTGGGGAGGGCAAAAAAACAGACCTACCAGGCCCACCGATAACCTTTTTGCCGACGTATGCCAAAAGGGGAGTGCGGGGGGTTGTGGTGTCGCGTGCACATGTGTGGGGGGTGGAGCACAGGGGAGCATTGAATTATGAGTGTGGGCACGCGCGTGTGCGACCCCCGCACTCCCCCCACTTTTGGCACATGACAGCAAAAAGGTTAGCCATCACTGGCTTATACTGTGCTAACCCAAAAACTATGTTTTTGCAAATCAGTGCTGAGAACCAATCCTGTCAACCCGAACAAAGTATTTTTGATGTTGCTCAGTCATGTCTGACTCCTCACGACCCATGGACCACAGCACGCCCAGTCTTCTATTATCTCCCAGAGTTTGCCCAAATCCACATCCACTGTGTCAATGACACTATCTAACCATCTCATCCTCTGCCGTCCCCTCTTCCTTTTGCCTTCAATCTTTCCCAATCTCAGGGTCTTTTCCAACGAAAGCAAAGGCTACGATGGCTTAATACAAAATGTCAGTCCAGCCCTTTGATTATGTGAAAGCTAAACATCTCCTCCTAATATCTATAGATTAGACTGCTCTTGATGGCGGGCTTAAAAATTGATGACTCATCAGAGAAGAAGTAGGCAAGACTGAATGGTTGGCTGATAAGTGCCTCAGTGGTGATCTGTAGTCACAGAAGATTTCACTGATCTCTGAATTAAATTTATTTATTTGTTCAACTTGTATGCCGTCTTTCTCCGAAGACTCAAATTGTTAGAATTATTCAAGCACAGTTACTAACTCTGCGGCCGCACGGGTGGTTATGGGAGCAACATGGCGCTCCCGTGTAACACCTCTCCTGCGCGAGCTGCACTGGCTCCCAGTGGTCTTCCGTGTGCGCTTCAAGGTTTTGGTTACCACCTTTAAAGCGCTCCATGGCTTAGGACCTGGTTATTTACGGGACCGCCTACTACCACAAATAGCCTCCCACTGGCCGGTACGTTCTCATAGAGAGGATCTCCTCCGGGTGCCATCAGCCAAGCAGTGTCGACTGGCGGCCCCCAGGGGGAGGGCCTTCTCTGTGGGGGCACCCACTATCTGGAACAAGCTCCCCCCGGAGATACGGAGGATCCCGGATCTGCGCACCTTCCACCGTGCTCTTAAGACCCTCTTATTCCAGCAAGCCAGCCTGGCCTAATTTTTCTCCCCTTTCTTTTAAATTTTAAATTGAAATTTTAATTTGTTTTAAATTTATTGGGATTTTAATTGTCGTGGGCCAATATTATTTAATTTGGTTTTAAATTGTTTTTAACTTTTGTATTTCTGTATTTTATCTTGTGCCTGTTCACCGCCCTGAGTCCTTCGGGAGTAGGGCGGTATACAAATTTAATAAAACTCAAACTCAAAACTCAAACTCTGAGGTTGAAGAGTAGAAAGGATAAAACTCCTAAGCCCTTAGCAAGATGTACCGTGATAAACTTTCACCTCTGTATATCCCTTAAAACATACAGGAACCCTGGCATCCCAAAAAGTTGCTTGCAAGCCTACCTTGTCCACTGTAAATAATTGTGTAAGGAATTAAGTGGAGTAAGTGTCTGCTGATAGTTTGGCTACAGATGACACCGGGCAGGTGCTCTGGCTTGGACGTTTGTCAAAGGGGCATCTCCAAAGTGCAGTGCATTCTGGGAGCAAGCATCCCTTGAGGCAGGGGTGTGGCCATTCCTCTGATTGGTGATGCCTTTGTTTTCTTTCCTGCAGGTGCTGCTGCTTCGGCTTCACTCATGACTCCCAAAGCGCCTCCCACCCCCAGCCCTGTTACTGTCACCACCAGCACAGTGGAAGGTGGGGGCGTGGGCTGCCCACTGCCCACAGGCACCGATCCGTTCCCCTTCCTGGCACAGGAACAAGCACTGCCGTTTGGGAATGCTCTACCTCCTGGGCTGTTCCCCCTGGGCTCCTTCCCCTTCTCGCTGACCTTGGGCCCAGAGACGCCACTTCCCCCTCTTAACCTGCAGGAGGAGCCAGACGGACAGTCCTTGTTGCCTCTGGTGCTGCCCAGCCTGGATTTGCTACAACAGCCAAGTGGGCTCCTGGCATCACTGTTGGCGTTGCCAGAGGCGGCTTGTGAAGGGCAGAGGGAAGCGGCGACAACGGAGCCATTGTTGGAGCCCTTCGCCAGCTTGCCCGAAACTCTGCAGCCTCTGCTCTTCCCAGCACTTTCCACCCCTTCAGCTGTCCTAGCTTTAAACTCGGCACTGTTAGCCACCGGCCTGGGCTCTTCTGACACAGGACCGAGCCCCACACAGGTAAGAAGTTTGCACAAGGGGCCAGTTGCCTTTAGACGTTTTTTCATTTCATTGAGACGCGATAGGATGGGACGGGAAGCGCATCGGTATCCCTCGTTATAAGGATCTTGTGGGATTGGATCATAGGTTGAAGGCTACCTTAGGAACATGGGAGGTTGGAAGGAATATATGTTTGCTGTTTAGCAAAGCCTTCACAAGATATATCCAGCTACTAGGGAGATAATACTGATCTGTTGACTTTATGTATTAAGAAAGTGTGATTCCAAGGAGACTTTGCATTAAGAGTTACGAACCAGTTGTTGGATAATCAAAGAACCAATATAGATAGATAGATAGATAGATAGATAGATAGATAGATAGATAGATAGATAGATAGATAGATAGATAGATAGATAGATATAGATATATATAGATATATATATATAGATATATATATTAATTTTGATTTATATGCCGCCCTTCTCCGGAGACTCAGGGCGGTTTACAATGCGTTAAGCAATAGCTTATTTAGCAATATTTAAAGAGCTCTGCACCTGCTTTAAATGAACCTGGTGGCTGAGCCTGAGCAACAGCTTCGAGTTCTCTCCTGAAATCATCTGAGGGGCTTGTTCCGATGGCTCTGCTCCTGTCTCAGACCTTTCCTGTCCTTCCAGACTGGCCTGGCTAGCACTCCTGTGGCACCTACCTCCACTAACACCACACCGACAACTACTGAGGGTACCCCCAGTGCCTCTGGGCGTCTGAATCCCATATTGCCCCAGCTTGTCAACCCGCTGCTGAGTACCACACTTCTGGGTGAGTTGATAGTCATCTTATACGATGCCAAACTCTTGGGAAAGGTGAAGATATTAAAGCCCAAATGACTGCCCCTAAGCAGAAAGAGACTGTCCCCCACAGATGACCTATTGCTCTAATGTTTTGCTCTTCGCTTTCTCCAACCTGATTTCTTCCTGGCAGGAGATCATTGGAGTTATGTAGCAGTCCTCACTTCTCAATCACAATTGAGACCAACAGCACTATTGCTAAATCGTGACCAACTTAGGATCTCACTTCCCCTTGTTGTTAAGTGATTCAGCAGTCATGAAGTGAAGTATCATGTGACCATGACTTGTGATTTTACTTCTGTGTTCTTCCTTAACTCTGCTAGTCAGAAGCTGAATCGTGACCATGGAACATGGCAACGGTCATAAATGCGCACCGATTGCGAAGTGCCTAAATCACGTGACCATGGGTTGCTACAATAGCAGGGTGGATCTGATTTAAATCAAGTTGATTTAAATCATGATTTAAATCACGATTTAAATCACTAGTAAAAAGGGTTGATTTCTCTATTTAAATCATAATTTTTAAAGAGCAGCTGTCATCTCTGTCCCACAGCAGCTCCTCCTCTGACCCGCTGTTGACTCACTGACAGTCCCATTCACTTTAATGGGATGGCTGGTGATGCGGCAGTGACACAACAAGGTGAGGGACGTGGCAGGCAGCAGGTGAGTGGATGCCCACTAATAGGCGCTGCCATTACGGATTTAAAATGACAGGTGCTCTTTAAATGTAAGGTCTCATTCTTGCTGGTAGTTAGAATCTTTAATATTATTATTTGCAAACAAAATGAAGGTTTCCTATTTAGCTTGCAGAGTTTGGATTCATTGAATGAGTTTACCAAAAATGTAAATATTGCAGACTATACAGCTTCGTGCTAGATAACTAAGATGTATTTCATGCTGAATAAAACTAAATTATTAATGTATCTTAAATAGAAAACTATCTTTGGATAGATTTTTACTCCAAAAGCATTTTATTAAAATAAATTTGCTAAAAATAAAATTAAAAAATCTGATTTAAATTTTAAAAAATCCAATTTAAATTTTAAAAATCTGATTTTTTTTAAAAAAAAAATTTAAATCATAGATTTTTATCCACCCTGTACAATAGTCATAAATGTGAGGATTGGTCATAACCACAAGCTGGTTTTCTTTACACCATCATAACTTTGAAGTGTCATTAAATGTAGCATCGATGAGCAAGGATTACCTGTAGTTGACCACCTCTGAAGAGCTGCCGCTTGGGCAAAGTTCTTGCTCAATGTGGAGGTGCCAACAACTTGCTTCTCCCTATGCCGGCCCTTTTGGCATTCCCCTGTTGATGTGATTGCGTGGAGAGGGAATAGAGTTACACTTACTGGCTGTGCAGGAATTGTTGTAAAGGGATGATTCTTCAGTTCAGCTACCCATGCCTAATTTAATCCATTACAAACAAAAGCATTTGTATGCACATCGATGCCTCTTTCAGATACCTTCTGAACGTGCCAAAATTGGATAACAGATAAAGTTTGGAGGGGAGAAAAGAGGCCTACAAAGGCTTACTGCTAGTACCCCTAGAAGTATTTGGGATTGGTGCTGATGAGAGCTATATGCCAGCAGCAGAGTTGACCTTCTCCTCCCTTTTGCCCACGTGAAGGTGATCTTCCATCCCTGAACCCAGCCTCAGGCCCCTCACTGATCGGAAGTCCTCTTCTCCAGGCCCAGCAGCCTCTTTTGCCACCCAATCTGCAAGGGCCTCTCGGAATCCAGCTTTTCCAAGGACAGCTGCCTTTACTAGCAGGCTCCAACCCCCTGGCCTGCCTCCTCCAGAGCTTACAGGTAAGCAGTCCTGATAGTGTCATCATCAGCCTCAGGGTAGGTCGGCAATGGGCAGTGTTTAGCTCTTCTCTCATATGCAAAATCCATACTTGGGGTAAAAGAGCACCTTTCATTCCCAAATGTGTACTCAAATTGTATTTGCAAATTGTAATTGTGCGTAGATTAAACTTGAAGCAAAAAAAAAAAAAGTGTGTTTAATATCTGTAAGGACAATATTATGGTGGTTCAGAGGAGTTCGCTAAAACTATTGATTCCCTTGCCAAATTAGTGGTTGATTCCCTGGGGCTGATAGTCCTTGGGGATTTTAACCTTCCCCTTGATGGCATTGAATTTGGGACGGCTAAGAACCAGACATCACACATTAAATCTGGTTTTGGTCCTTGGGGTAGCTGTGATGTGGTCTAAGGTGGAGTACATCACATCAGTCCTTTGCCATGGTTAGATTTCTCTTTGGTTGCTATTTTGGTGTGCCTGTGCAATTTTCTCCTCCCCCTACAAGAAGGTATAACCTATAAGCAATAGCACTTAGACTTATATACTGCTTCACAGTGCTTTACAGCCCTCCCTAAGCGGTTTACAGAGTCAGCCTATTGCCCCCAACAATCTGGGTCGTCATTTTACCCATTGAGAAGGATGGAAGGCTGAGTCAACCTTGAGTTGGTGAGAATTGAACTGCTGGCAGTTGGCAGTCAGCAGAATTAGCCTGCAGTACTGCATTCTACCCACTGTGCCACCATGGCTCTCATTAGGCTGTCTGCACCAGGTGCCTGATGAACCCGAAGGAGTTTCAGAGGACATGTGAGGTTTTTCCTGAGAATCTGGTAGGGTCGTTTGTTGTAGATCTCTGTTTGTGCCTGGAATGGCCAGATGATGAGAACCTTGGACCAGGTTGCTCTTATGCAGCCTCTTACTGTACATTAATGAGGAACCGTGGGGATGCAGTGGGTAGAATGTAGCGTTGCAGGCTAATTCTGCCAACTGCCAGCAGTTAGATCTTCACTGACTCAAGGTTGACTCAGCCACCCACCCTTCCAAAGTTGATGAAACAAGAACCCAGGTTGTTGGCGGCAATAGGCTGACTCTGTAAACCACTTAGAGCACTGTGAAACCGTACAGTATATAAGTCTAAGTGCTATTTCTAATCCCATGAAGGAGCTAGATTTTCCAAGAAACGCCAAAAGATGAAATGTCAGAAAAGAAGCCTGGAGAACCCTTGGAGGAAAACAACCAAGTGAACCAGCTAAGCATGCATAAGGACCCATATTAGGGTTTAAACTGTTGGGTTAAGAGTGATGACATTTAATGATTTCTGCAGTTTTATTGCATTGGTTGATTGCCACCCAGCTATCCTTTTTAGGGTGATTCCTTCCTCAAGATTATTTCCTGGGCTGCTGTGAAGAACAGTGATTCCCAAATTCTCTTAGTTCACAACATCCTTAGTGTCCTAGTAACTTTTTCATTGGGGGCCAGAAATATGTATCTGAATTACAGGGATCCTGCATTATATTTTAAATTTTCAAGAGAAACATGGCAATCCTAGGCTAGTAGTTCCTGCAATATCTGACTTTACAGCGTGAAAATTACTTAGATGGAGATATGCAAGATCTGTTGCTAAGTTAATGAAAAGTGAAACTTGTTTTAAGTTTCAAGAGACAGATAATATTCAGAAATGACTCAGATGCTTCTTAATTTACTGAAGTATAAATAAAAAGAGAAGGTACTATATAATCCGATTCACAAAATTCTGTTATTATACCTATATCAATAATAGTAATTTTAGTCTTCCTGTGGAGTTAATTTTCTAGTTTAGTCTACCTATCACTGACAGATTTTGGGCATTACTGTATTTCCCTCGACAGATGTTGGGTACTCCTGCATTTCCCTCAAACATTTAAAATATTCTATGGCTGTAAGAAATAGAAATAGGGTTCCTATTGAATTTGGTTAGAGGAGAGAGTTGAACCTGAAAACTTCAATTTGTAGAATACCACAACTTTATGTTCTCACCTCACCTGTGCATACAAGGACACATTTATTCGGAGTCAGGTGTCATCAATATGCAGGTGATACTCAGATGTATTTATCAATTCCCAACTGACTAGCCAATGCTGTCAGAGTCTTGTGCAGATATCAGTGTGAACAAATTGTTGTGTGGGCAGTAGCAGAAGGAGCAGAATCTTCTGGCCCCAACCTTCCTATCTTTTGTAAAGGCCTAAAGCTGTGGCTGTGCCACTCAGTTTGGGGCCCCAGTCAGCACAATGGAGATGGTTGATTAATAACAGATAACGTTCTTTGTTCAAGTCGTTTCTTCCTTCTTTTGTTCCTTCCTTCAAGATGGCAGCAGTGGAGGAAGCAGTATCAGACCACAGGGAGAGAAGTTACTAAATTAAGTAGGAAAGTATAAGGAGAGGGGGGAAAAGGGAAGGAAAAAGGAGCAGAAAGATGAGTAAAATAGAAAAGATGAAAGGAAAGAAGAAATTGGGGTAAGGATAGTGGTGAAATCCAATTTTTTTTTACTACCGGATTTGTGGGTGTGGTGTGGCTTGGTGGGCATGGCAGGGGAAAGATACTGCAAAATCTCCAATCCCACTTCACTCCTGGGGGAAGGATACTGCAAAATCCCCATTCCCTCCCCACTCCTGGGGGAAGGATATTGCAAAATCTCCATTCCCATCCCACTCTGGGGCTAGCCAGAGGTGGTATTTGCCGGTTCTCCGAACTACTCAAAATTTCCACTACCGGTTCTCCAGAACCTGTCAGAACCTGCTGGATTTCACCCCTGGGTAAGGAGGAAAATGCCAGCAAAACAGCAGGGTGGCGAATGAATGGCTTGCACGCTGAGTTGGAGGCAGCCAGCAACAGAAAGTCCAGCCCTCTGTCCAATATACTGTTTCTCTGAAAGGTTAGAAGATGAGAAAGGACCGGGATAAGTCAATTGAGCGGGATATTAATGATCTTTAGAAAAACAGTCCTGAAAAATTGAATGTTTAACAACAATGTAAACCAGAGGACTTCAAACTTGGCAGCTTTAAGACTTGTGGACTTCAACTCCCAGAATTTCTCTTCAACTCTAACTCTCCAGCTATGCTGGCTGGAGAGTTCCGGGAGTTGAAGTCCACAAGTCTTAAAGCTGCCAAGTTTGAAGACCTCTGATGTAAACATTCAAATATCCATTCCCCTTGGCAAAATGTAAATTCAGACAATCTTTTGGAGAAGCAACCTCTGAATGCTGCAGAGAAGATAAAATGATTTCATGAAGGTTTCTTTTTTCTCTCTCTCTCTCTCTCTCTTTCTCACTCTCTGTTTGCCAGCTAAGCACTGGTTTCGGTGCCCCCGAGAAACTGGTGCTACCCGGTGAACCTCCAGCCTCAGCCTTGTCCAGCGTGCTCCCTGTGCCAGAGACTGAGCCAAGCCACCAGGCTATCTTGCCCCCTTGCACGGACACTGCCCTCACAAAGTGCCTTAGAGTCGCCCAGAGCCCTTGAGCCAGCCCGGCAAGGAGAAGAGGAGGCCCCCGCAGGGCAAGAAGCCAGCGGTTCCCACTCTCCCCACAAGCGGCTCAGATGTAGCCCAGAAGAACTGAACGGGGACTCTGCCAGCAGCCTTCCGCGAGGATCACTCCGGGGCAGCAAGACTGGACGGCGTGGGGGTGGGCGGGGGCGGGGCAGGCGGCACTTCAATGGCCAGCTTCCTGAGTTGGGCACAGGACATCTGTCGCATCCCACCTGGCGTTGCAACGGGGAAATGGTGGCTAGCAGTGCAGAAACCCAAGCAGGTCCTTTTGCTGTTCAGGAGATAAAGGTATGTAGAAGTGTTTAAATGGTCCTCTCCAACTTGGTGCCCTTCAGGTGTTTGGAGACTGCGACCTCTGGAATTGCCAGCCAAGTGGCTGAATTCTGGGGGTTGTAGTCTCAGTGTGACTGAAAGGTACCCAGTTGGGGAGGGCTTAGATGGAACAAGGAAGGAGTTCAAGGAAATTGTAGGGAATTGTTTTACCACAATTGTCCCGACATTCCAAAAAAGGAAAAGCTTGCTTTCTGGGGGTACTTTCTTATTGACAACTCCATCAAACCCCAAGTGCTGGACCAGGATGGACCTTTGATCTAGTCTACAAAGCAGTTACGTTGGTCTCTTCTGTAGGTGAAAGGTAACTCCAGTTTGAGCCCTGGGTCCCACACTGGCCACAATTGGGATTAATCTTTCCATTGCTAAGCGAGGCAGTTGTTAAGAGAGTCATGCCCAATTTTACGAGGGGTTTGTGTGTGTGTGTGCATGTGTACCACAATTGTTAAGCAAATCAGGGCAGTTGATTCAGCAAATCTAGCTTTCCCCACTGATCGTTCGTTGGAAGCCAGCTGAGAAGGTTGCAAATGAGGAAATCACACAACCCTGAGATATGGCAACGGTTGTAAATGCATGCCGGTTGCCAACCACCGTGGGGATGTTCTGGCAATGTCTAAGGACCACTCATAAATCATTGTTTTCAGTGCTGTTGTAACTTTGATTGGTCACTAAACGAATGATTATAAGTCAAGCACTAGCTGTTTACCGTTAAGTGCTCTTTTTACATCAGTCCAGATCTGCTAGGAAGATTCAGAGTTTTTCCATAGTCCTCCAGAAAGTGCTTCATAGTGTGTCTTTGTTTTTTCTTGTATTGGACCCATAGCCATATGATTTCATGGTATTGATTAGGTTCATACATTATGCTAAGCCATGGTTTTCTTAGTCATGATTTGCTAAGTAACCTACAGTGAGCAAGATTCATATATAATAAATACCAAGGTTAAATTTTCCATTTGCAAACCAGAATTGCTGGGGGTTTATGTCACTCTAAACAGGGTGGGGAACTATGGCCCTTTTATGACTTGGTGGACTTCAGCTCCCAGAATTCCTGAGCCAGCATGGCTGACTCAGGAATTCTGGGAGTTGAAGTCCACCAGTCATAAAAGGGCCATGGTTCCCCACCCCTGCTCTAAATGCACAGATTGCCCCTGATCTTCGCAGCACTTTCTACCCCTCCAGCTGCCTTAACTTTAAAATCAGCACTGTGGGAAACCAGACTGAGCTCTTCTGACACAAGGCTGACTCCACACTACATGGAGGTCAAACAAGGAGGCTTTGCTTTTAGCAATTGAAAGTGCCGTTTTTCATCTCAGTGACATACACAAACTGGGGAAACTGCATTTAGTGCTCCAGTCTCTCCTAATAAAGAGATCTTGTGGGATTTGGTCATAGTTTGAAGCTCCTATTTGAGGAACTTGTGGGATTGGTTAGATCACAGGTGCCACGTCAATTTGCCATCATGTGACGTTTTGCAACTTTTTTTCCCCTTCGCGGAGCTGGGGTGGGTGTGGCCTGCGCGCGACATATCCGGCCCGCAGGCTGCCAGTGTGACAACGCTGGGTTAGATTATAGACACAAGTAGCGGAGGGCTTTCAGGACGTAACCTGCTTCTAGTGGGATAAGACTGATATTATGGCTTAGTGTGATGTGTGAACCCAAACATTGTTTTGTTTCCTTTGATTGCTCCTTCTTCAGAGGACTTTGGTTTTAAAGTAAAAGACTATTCTAAAGCTTACTCAGGAAGAATTTTGGACTCTTCAAACTATGGGGGAGGTACGTATGTGTTGCTGTTTCAATAACTTGCCCTCATTCTAACAGTATTAAATATAAACCCATGTATGTAGAGAACAGGAGAACCACATAGCGATGTGCCAGATTATCTAATATTGTGCATATGTTATGTGAGGGAGCATTTAATTATGGGTGTCTCTGTGGACACATTTTACATTTTCCCACTTTGTCTTCAGACTGAAACGGAAAAAATGTTTAGGGAAGCTTTACTGTGTCCTTAAATTGACTGGATAAGCTGAGTCCTTGTAGACTGGTTGTGAAACCATGCGTTGCCAATCAAGAAAATTGTGTGGAGGGTCTCTTATTGCCAGCTCTGGAGTGCTTTTAGGAAGCTGACATCTTCAGAATTGATACTTACCTTCTAACCCATTTCTTTCTCTAGGGCCCTCCAGGTAGGCGACCAGCCCGACGTGGCCGAAGGAGGAAAAGCAGGTGAGAATCAGTGCTCAAAAAGGAAGGGATTTGTAGAGATAGCAGAATTCAAAACAAGCTTGGGATATCTCAGAGGTTATTTATTAGTCCATTGTCTATAGAGATTCTCAGTCATCCAGGTCATGGTTGTCCCAAAGGTGTTTTTTTCAGGAGGCAACTGGATTTTGTTTTTTCTTTTGAAGACATTTCGCTTCTCATCCAAGAAGCTTCTTCAACTCTGACAGGATAGTGGGGAATGGAAGGATTTATATTCCTTGCAGATAGCTGGTTATTTGCATCCTTTTAAAGGGTTGCTGCAGCACTTGGAGGTTTATCTGTGTCCTTAGGGTTACCTGAGCAGTGCTTCTGGTTCATGTATTATTAGTCCCATTTTCTCTTTGCAGTGGTGTCCGGCCCAGTACCCGACCTGAGACTACACGGATTCGGGGTCCTAGCATTGATCCAGGGTCCAGCCCATTGGTAAATATTTTTTTTCTCATGGGTGAGTGGGTGATAATATGAAGTAGACCAAGACAGTATTTCTTGGGAAGGAGATTCCCCTAAGGTTTGGCTTACAGTATTGATATTTTTTGCCTCTTTTAAAAATTGAGGTAAATGCAGGGGTGAAATGCTCCCGGTTCGGACCGGATTGCCCGATCCGGTAGCGATGGAGGCGGGTGGTTCGGAGAACCGGTAGGAAAAATCTCTGCCCCCCGCCCCACCATGCCCAGCTGAGCCGCACAATCATCAGAGGCTTTTTTTTTACTTTTAAAAGCATTTTTTCTACAACTACAGCTGAAAAAATGCTTTTAAAAGTAAAAAAAAAAAAGCCTCTGATGATTGTGCGGCTCATCAAAGGCATTTAAAAGAAAAAAAACCCTTTTTTTCTTTTTAATGCTCTGACGATCCCAGCTGAGTTCCCTGATCAGCAGGGGCTTTTTAAAAAACAAGATTTTTAAACTTTTAAAAAGAAAACAAGTGTTTTTTTCTTTTAAATGCTCTGACGATCCCAGCTGAGTTCCCTGATCGGCCATTTACAAAGACTGCAGAAGGGATGCTCAAGGGTTGTTATTATTATGTGCTCCTGAGGATGCTCCCCCACCCCGGTTTGTAAGGGAAGGAATAAGGAGTGGTGCTGTCATCCCAACTTGTGAATTACACCTTAACTTGTCTTTCCTCACCTTTCCCCCTTGTAGGTTGACTACACTGTTGCTCGCCGGCCTCGGCCTGGCCGGCCTGTGAAAAACAGGAGGAGAAATTGGCCACATAACACTGCCTGAACCGAGGGGTCTCCACCACTGTCCATTCTTAAGCAAAGAGAGCTTGGGACATCTCTCCCCATCCATGACCCCCTTCCATCTCTGGGGCCCAGCCTACGGGTGTAACCCAAAGGAGGGGAGGAAATACCAGCAAAAGGATCGGTTGTTGCTGATGGCTCTGAGCATCTTGACCATGAATGTGTTTTAGCTTCACCACTTGCCTGGATCCGGAATCTTTTGCCAGAGGGATCTCTAAAAGCACACGGTGCAGTTCTGGTCTCAGCATTTTTTTTGGAAGGGGAGGGTTGCTGTCGGGAGGAGGCTAAGGGGAGGGGGAGGAAAAGAGGGCCACGCCCATAGCACTTCTTGAAGCCATGTTTGTAACGTTCCTCTTGGTGGTGCAGGAGGCCCTCCTGCCCTTGCTTTTTGTGTCTTCCCCCACCCCTGGTGAGATTCCCCTAACGGTTGGGTCCCCCAAACCTCAGCAAGGAGTAGCAAGGGCCGTGTCCTGGAGGGGGACAGCAACGCCCTTTCACTTCCCACCTTACCTCAGGCCTGCGTGCAATGCACGCAGGTGGGAACCGGCTCAGGGTTTTAGTACAAGAATCAGTCGCTTCTTCTCTCTGCCTTGCCAAACATACACAAACACACTCTCTTTCTCTCTCTCTCTCTGTCACACACACACACAGAGGCAAGCTCGGTCCTGATCCCAGCAGCCAAGGTACAAAGCAATAAGGAAAATAAGCCACGTTAAGTTCAAGGAAAAAATCCTCCTTTCAGTTTTTCCAGAAATTTCTTCCCTCCCTCCCAACGCAGCCTCTCTGCCTCTATTTATATGCTACTCAAAAGACAGCGACAATATGCCAGACCCTGAATGGTGACTTAGCCTGTTCTGACCGCCTCCTCAAGTCCAATTGGAACTCTGGGACTGTAAGTCTCACCCTTCTTCCCTACACAAAAATACCCCCATTTTCTTTTTTTAAATTCTATGTATTATTTCCTTGTATTTTCCTTTTTAAAAAAAAAAAAATCCTCAAAAGAACACTCAGGTCACAGCATATTGGGGTGGGGTGGAGAAAGAAGATTTTGTGCTCAAAAATACACCTGGCCCATCTTTGCCAGAGCGAACTCCCCTTTACCCTGCTCCTCTCATTCATTCCCCAAACACATAACACTACAATCCTCATCTCTAAATGACCAAATCACTTCACAGCACCCCCCTCTTCCCCCATCCGATTGCAACTCTCGACACATTTATGCAAAAGCACTGTGTAGATACTGTACAGGTTGTGCTGTGTCTCCCCTTCTCTCCCATGCACTTCAACCAACCAACTTCGGCCTTTCTTTTGTATAAAGAAGAAGAAGAAGAAAAAAGGAATGGGGGGGGGAAGCTATTTTTCCTTTTTCGAGCTTAAAATTTTGTTTTGTAAAAAATAAAAATACACAATTGTGAATTGTAGCTTTTCTATGGGAGCGACTTTTAATTTAACAGATGAAAATATTTTGAAGCTTAGATTGAAGTTACTGTTTATTTGTTTATTTTTTGGGGGGGTGTTTTGTATCAAGTATTAAAATATGTATTTAAAACAGCTGGATACGATTGTTTTTGGGTGCAGCTGAAACTCTAGCCGTGGAACAGGACTATATTCTTAACTTAGCATGTGGGAGAGGCTGAAAAACTGCTTTGTCACAAAGAAACAGCCTTACTGGGCAGGCAACCTTAACAAGCAATAACAAGCAGGTGGTTTGCAGATTGGCAGCTGCCTCCCTGCATTGTGCATCTTTTCAATTCTTATTCAGATCTAGTATTAAATTAGAAAGTTTTCTTCATGACTAATGATACTTCAAACGCATTAGGTAATGCAGCATTACTAAATTGCCTGACTGAGCTCACCTCCTGAGATCATGACAATACCGGGACCTCCTTGTCTTCTATCAGCCAATCATCAGCTTGCATTAGAAGCATGGAAGCAGCAGCAGCTAAAAGAGCTAAAAGGAGACTTTTTGACACCTAAAAATGCTACATATCCCAGCTTCCAGAGAGAGAAAGTGATTATTATTATGCAAGATATTATATTATTATTATTATTATTATGCAGGTTATTATGCAAGATAAATCATGCTCGCTGATCATCTAACAGTTCCAACCAAACTTTGCTTTTTCTTCCCTGTACTGGACCATTTCTAATTTTTTTTTTTCATTTGCCTAATCATTTTTTTCTTTCTTCAACATATGCAACATGAAAAAGCTGTGGGGTTTTTTTATAACAGTCAGTATGGACTGTCCTGGATTTCAACCGGATATTTCCCAGTTCATCTGTTCACTGAATTTTGTATATACAAATTAGGTAGCATTCCATTGGCTACTGTTCTATCCCTAAAAGGAGATGAACTACTGGTAGTTTGATCCACGTATACAAAAATAATACAAACAAACAGAGATATTTGACTACTAGGACAATGTGATCTATAATTGCAGGCTTCTAGATGTCAAAATACTGCTGGAAGGAAAACGGGCAGTGAACAAACATCCTGGGTTGATTCTTAAGTGACCTATAAAAATTCAAGACAAAAGATTCCCCTTTCTCCAGTGGTATCAGCGGATAACAAATCTCCCAAATGCTTTGATTTTCAAAAGCTCAGCTGAGTATCATTCCAGGAGAAGCTACTAAACACTGGAAACCTAAAAAAAATCTTTGAAATTAGTCTGGTAAATTGCATTTCATTTCCAGGCTATTCGCTACAATTCAGTATCTCTAAAGGGGTATCCATACAATACAGTAACTGCTAGGAAGGGAGCCGAGAGGGGAGATGGGGGTGGGGGATGTCTTATTTTCTTGCTGAAGATACTGAACTTACATGCGGCAGGCAGAAATTGAAGGAGGTTGATTTGTGCGTTTGAGATTAACAGATTTACTTTGCTTCTCTGATGCTTTGTTTAGCTCTGATACACAAAGAGCTCTGAGGGCTCTTCAGAAATGGTGGCATTATGTTGCAAAAGAAAGCACCCGTTTACGACAGGCCGAAACCTCTGCTGTCTTCTTCCTTTATGGATACACAAGCGAGGCCCACTTTCCAAGGCATTCCAGGTACCCTGAAGCTGCTGCTTTTCCCCACAGGAAGAGAAGAATGTGAGGCCTCATTAACTCCGTGCGCCATATGGCAAGTTTATACAGCCCAACTTTAGACAATGAGCTGGAGACTCCCCCTCTCTGGCCTACCAGGATACTCCCAGGCGGGCACAAGACTGCCTTGCTGCTCAGTCTGCCACTGATACCTAGTGATACACCACCCTAGGCCTGGAAGTGGCAAAGAAGAGTTTAATCCCTGATGAAAACAGACGAGAATATAACAAATCATTTGAAGGCAAAAACAAAGCAAAGCAGTAAGCATCAGAGTTTAATGACAGAAAATAATTATACAACACAATTCAACTCCATGCTGAGAGCGTTAAGACACCTTTTCCATGTAAAAGGCCCTTCCTTCTGGGCCAAAGAGGCAGGGTGCCTTCCTCGAGAAATGGGCCAAAGGATGACTTCCCTCGCTGGGACAGAGCTTCCCCATCCAAGTAGGGAGTGCAGCTTTCCCCTCTGCAATCAGCAACCTTCAGGGACATGGAAACATTGGAAGGGGGGAGGGGCACAGCTGCCTTTTAACATAGAAGCGCTCAGTCCTCTGGCCCGTAGGAAGGTTCAACTCCTGCTATGAATGTGCAAGGAAAGGGTAGGGAAAGGACAGAGCCATTACAAGAGTGTGTGTGTGGGAGGGGGGGGGTAAATCTTCCCACCCTGCCTTTCTGTTCGAGGAGATTTATTTGGCCAGCTTCTGTACCCTTGAGTTGATGCTGGTAAAATTGTCTTCAACAGCAGATAGATTCTCTTTCATGGCTTTCTGAACCTAAGGAGAGAGGGTGAGTGGAGAGTTGTCAGCCACGAAGGGGAAACAGCCAGGCACATTCACTGGAACCCCTCGCCTACCACCGTATACAGTGAGGACCCTATGAGCACCAAGTTGAGGTTATCTACCATCTGGAACTCCCAAATGTTTCCGGGTAGTGCTGATGTCTATTTTATTTTATTTATTTTATTTATTTTATTTATTTTATTTATTTTATTTTATTTTATTTTATTTTATTTTATTTTATTTATTTTTATTTTATTTTATTTTATTTTATTTTTTTTATTTTATTTTATTTTTTTTTATTTTAATTTAATTTTATTTGATTATTTTATTTTATTTTATTTTATTTATTTTATTTTATTTTATTTTAATTTTATTTTATTTATTTTATTTTATTTTATTTTATTTTATTATTTTATTTTATTTTATTTTATTTTATTTATTTTATTTTATTTTATTTTATTTATTTTATTTTATTTATTATTTTATTTTATTTTATTTTTTTATTTTATTTTATTTTTATTATTTTATTTTATTTTATTTTATTATTTTATTATTTTATTTTATTTATTTTATTTTTATTATTTTATTATTTTATTAATTAATTTATTTTATTTTATTATTTTATTTTATTTATTATTTTAATTTAATTTAATTTTATTATTTTATTTTATTACTTTATTTTATTTTATTTATTTTATCATTTTATTTTATTTTATTTTATCATTTTATTTTATTTTATCATTTTATTTTATTTTATCATTTTATTTTATTATTATATTTTATTTTATTTTATTATTTATTTATTTATATACCGCCCTTCTCCCGAAGGACTCAGGGCGGTGAACAGCCAAGATCAAATATATAAATATAAAAGATAAGATAAGGAGAATCCAAGAGATAAGGAGAATCCAAGAGATAAGGAGAATCCAAGACCTCAGTGCCTTCCGCCGTGCCCTTAAAACCCACTTATTCCAGCAAGCCGGGCTGGGTTAGGAAGAAATTTTTAAATTTTTTAAATGTTTAATTGGTTTGTGGTTTTTTAAATTTTTGGGCCAAATTTATATTTATTTTAATTGTTTTTAATATTTGTATTTCATGTTTTTAATTCTGGCTGTGCACCGCCCTGAGTCCTCAGGGAGAAGGGCGGTATATAAATTGAAAAATAAATAAATAAAATAAATAAAAAGTTAAAAACAATTTAAAACCAGATTAAATACTTTGGCCCACAATTAAAAACATCCCATTAAAATCCAATTTAAAATTTAAAACCGTTAAAATTAGGCTAGCCCGGCTTGCTGGAATAACAAAGTCTTCAGGGCACGGCGGAAGGTGCGCAAGTCCAGGATCCTCCGTACCTCCGGGGGCAG